AATCACGACTAAAAACTCACCTTTTCAGATGAGCACACTCTGAACGCAAATCTTGTCATCTACCTTTACATCTTTCTTTTTTGTTTTAGTATTTTTCCTATCATTTTTTAATCATTTTACTATCGCGTCTAGTTTGTAATAGTGATATGTACTATAATTTATACTTTTACGGCCTATTGAGATCGATTGTGATGTAATGGGCTTTAAACAATATATATCATTATTATTAGTTCTTGTGGATTGGCTAGAGACGACGATCCATGATGTCCAAGCGTTGTTCTATCGAGGATATGATTGTTTATTTATTTATTATAAGAATACAATGAAATATACAGTGCTGAGTTATATAATACGTTATATAATAAAAGCTATCATAATTACCTGATAATAGTAATAGCTATAATGGTAATTTCTATAGCAAAGATAGCTTGCCAGACAAGGTAACATACGCACACTACCTGATCTTGTCCATATATACATGCATACCAAGTTTCATAGAGATCAGATAAAAACTACACCCTGTTTCATGACTACACGTCAAATTTGTAGGGTTTTTACTAAATCAAGGGCAATAATCCTGAAATCGTTCATCCAATTATTACTAACTTCAAACTTGACAAAATCTCATCAATATATACATATTATATACTAAGTTTCATCGAGATAACCATTCCTCGACACTTGAAAAAGGATAATATTTCGAAAACCGATTCGTGTCAATTGCGTAAGTTTTTGTTTTACTTGTTATAATTTTTCACATCATTGTTAGCGTTATTTATCACCTAAATATATATTTTTGCATTTTTCATCATAACTTTCATCTTACTTTATATATCCCCAAACCCAGTTTGACTTATTTGCATAATTTGATCCCAACATTTTCGCGCTAGCATATACAGTTTCCTCCTGTTACATCCGCTGTACATTCCCTTCTAACCCCAAGTTCTTTTCATTATGCTCCCCAACTACAACAACCACTGGCAAGAAGCCAGACATAGAAACACTAATCGTCAACCAAACCAATATCACGTACCCTACAACGGCCCTGTCTTCCATCGACCTCTACCACCTACCAATCACCGACCACCAACCAACCCACCCAGCTATATCCCACCCCATCGCCGACCTACCTACAACACAGCCTACCAATCAAGAGGTAACCATCGACCTGACCAACAACAGAAAAGACTACCAGCCCACCGACGCCAACCAGTCCCCACTCATAAGGAGGAAGAACCCTTTGTGAAGGTGTTCTTCCACGTTTTGCAGTGCCTCCATCATTTGGCAATCCTTACCCTTCAACAGCAAGGCCAACCAGCGTTTACCTTCAAACGCAAAGTCTCTGAGTTGGATAGTTTTATCCGTCCAGCAATGAAAACATCAGCTGTCGACGCGAATATTAGATCCCTCAATCGGACATGGCTCTGTAAGGTTACGCAGGTCCTGATCGACCATTACCAAACCACACTTCAAGAGAGGCTGACCACCATTCGTACCAAGTCTTTATCATCACCTGCCGTCGACCGCATCGTTTCTCATGCCCTGTCCTGGGCCCGTCGCTCCTATGGGAAAGGTCTCACTCAAGCTGTAATCTCCAAATTCTACCAAACAATCAACGAAACAAAAACCAGAGTAACCATATCTCTACCAACTGAAATGGACACTACACCTGCACCATCTAGAGCCACCACGCTGCCGAACCAAACCCCTAAACGAGCCCGAAGTTCACCTACTCCTAGTCCAGCAGACATAGGTAAACGCTCTCGTAGAGAGGGCACACCCCTTCTCTTTTCACTTTCAGACTCGTCTTCCCCTTCCACACCATCTGAATCTTCACCACGTGATCCAGGATCCGCCAACCTTTCTTCCTTCTGTGCGTTTTTGGACCAGCAAACCACCCCTCAGTCTCCATCCAAGTCGAGACGTGTATCCAGACCTCCCCCCCCCTCGAACCAGATCCCAGTCCGTTCCCAATGCTACAATTCTAACATCTACCAAACCAGTACCAATCACACCGTCGACGACCATTATATCCGCTACCAAACCGTATTATCACCAAACCAAGGACAAATCATTATGGAAGCTACCTGCTCTAAAGAAATCTACCTTAATAATTGGATCATCTAACCTGAATCGAATTCCCAAAACCAGTTCAGACACCGAAATACATTCTTACCCCGGTGCCCAAATCCATCACATACAGTCAATCCTGGAATCATACGACCATGATCCCAAACCTACTACCATTATTCTTCATGTAGGCCTCAACAACCGTGATCAGCTACCAAAGACCTCCTTTAACCAAGCCCAGAAATTAATCGCCTCAGCCAACAAAACCTTCCCAAACTCCAAGATCCTCTTCACATGTATACCCATTTCAAATAAAATCTCGAAGAAAGCACAACAGAACCTCAGCACTCTCAACAACATGATGATGGAGTCCAGTATCAACAGCGCAACAATCTTACCACCCTACGAAGAAGAATTCGAACCAGTTGATAATCTTCATTGGTCTCCAGAAACAACAAACAGCATCTATTTGTTTTGGATACACCAGCTTCAAGCATCGAGTAAGTCTTTAAACTAATTACTGAGGATAAAAATACTGAGAGGCCACCGCTAGGCCAAACTGTAGTTAACTTGAGCCGCAAAATTCTCACACCCCTTCAGCATTCAATCTTAGACCGTGGACTTAAGTTTATTCCCACACCAAAGATAGCTAACTTGAATTATCTCCGACCATCCATTGAACGATTTCAACGAAATCTTAGCTGCACATATTTTTTCGAAACCACCCCCCACGTGGTGCTAGAACAATGTTTATTCCTAAATCCACGTGGACACCCCCTCAGGCCGCCATCCATCCTGAAATATTGAAAGCATTTGCGAGTATGAATAGCCAAACAGTGAACCTTTCCATAACACACGAAAAGCCTAATCTCACACGAGTGGAACGTTAAGCGTTAAACTTACTTAAGAAAGACGATAGCATTGTTATTAAAAAGAGTGACAAAGGTTCATGTTGTGTCATTCTGAATAGGGAGGATTACGTTTCAGAAGCAGAGAATCAACTGAATAACCCTAAACATTATGCCATTTTACCGAAACCAATTTTCAAAGAAACTGCTAACATGATTAATAATATTCTTGCCGATTTAGTCAAAACTAGTTATCTCAAACAGAAACAATATGACTATCTGTCTACCAAACCTGATTGTCCCGAGAGACATTTGTACACTTTGCCTAAAATCCATAAGAATCCAACCAAGGAGTGGTTTATCTCGAATAAAATTCCTAAAGGCCGCCCGATTATATCTGACAGTGGTAGTGAGTCATATGCAGTGTCAGAATACATTGATCATTTCTTACTACCTCTAGCATGCCAACATCGCGCCTACCTTAAAGACACAACCGATTTTGTCAATAAAATAAAAAATCTTCGAGTTCCCTCTAATGCTATTTTAATTTCTATCGACGTTTCTTCTATGTATACCAATATCGATAACACTACTGGTTTAACGGCAGTTCGTAAAGCTTTTAATAGAAACCCAGATCCAAACAGACCCGACGATGCAATTCTACAACTTATAGAGATTTGTCTTAGTCGAAACGATTTCACATTTAATGGTAAAACATATTTACAAACTTCAGGGACAGCAATGGGCAAACGATTCGCCCCTTCGTACGCAAACCTTTTCATGGCAGATGCAAAACATGTCCTTTTATATCAGAAACTCATTATTTTGTAAGCAACTCTACGAATAAAAGGTACCCGATCCAGGAACATCTAACATGTGAACATTCGAATGTAATATATTTAATTTCATGCAAGAAATGCCCAAAACAATATGTAGGAGAAACTAAGAATAATTTACGAACTCGCTTTAATGCTCATAGGTCAGACATCAAATTAAAGAAAGACAAGCCTGTTTCTAATCATTTCAACCTCGACGACCATTCAATAGACGATCTCACCCTAATCCCAATTGAGCGTATAGAAATTGACTTGCCCGAAGATGAAACTACCAAATTCCGTCAATCTAGGGAGGCCCATTGGATTGAGACATTGAATACAGCAAGACCTATAGGACTAAATATTCATCATAATGTAGGCATAGCACCCTTTGTTGTCCCGTTTAATACAACCAGCAATCGAGCAAGCAAGATAGTTCATGCCCACTAAAAGAGCCTTCAAGAGAAATTCCCCCATGTCTATAAGCAGAAAATGATAGTTGCATATTCAAAAAATAAGAACTTAAATGATAATATTGTTCATAGTAAACTAAAAACAATCAGTACATAACAGATACTATACTTCTCGCCCATTGGGCGAGTTATTTTTTCTAATTTCAGGTCAGAATAAGAACAGAAGAAAACCCAATATCAAGACCCTTAATCCTAATTTCTAAATAAAGTGTCTGCTCCACCCTAGGCCTGTACATTTGGGAGAATCAAACCCTCCCTTCCCCGAAATCTAAAACCGTTCATCCGATTATTACCAATTTCAAACCTGACCGAGATCTCATCAATATAATACATGTATACGAGTTTCATCAAGATCGGATAAAAATTGTAGCCTTTATCGTGCATACAAGCCAAATTTAACACGTTTTTACTAAGTTTTTTAATAACTCTGAAACCGTTCATCCGATTATTACCAATTTTGAACTTGATCGAGTTCTTATCAATATATACATGCATACCAAGTTTCATCAAGATCAGATACAAACTGTAGCCTCTATCGTGCATACAACAAATGTGGACCGACGGACGGACGGGTTAATAAAAAAGTTATTTGGTTGAAAAGAGGCAAACTCCATCATTCTTTGAATTCAAAAACCGCTTACAAATGTTTATCAGTGTCTAGATAAAAGGAAAGCAAGTTATAGACTTTAAGTATATATTTATAGATGTTAAATAATTATTAATCATTAATGAATTAATTATAGATTTTAGCGTGAAAAATGTTGAAATGTTACATTCCGGTTATTTAGGGTTGATCAGGATTGTTCTTTATCCATTAGTCTCTTGTATTGATCAACAAATGTTTCTATTCCTTCTTTGACTCTGTAGTCTGGTTCTTTAGCTACTGACAGCCTTACACAGTTACTGAACTCTCCAGTAGGTGAGGTACTAAAAAGGAAAAGAGACAATGTTCCAGTCCTTGGTTTGGATTTCAAATACAGGGCTATAGTATCCCTAGAGGCAGTGGCGACTTCAGATTTTTGGAAGAGTATTCTTTCAATATATTTACATTTTTACAATGACAAAGCAAATTTCCATAAAAAATTGTATTCTGGGATCTCTTAAATAATTTGTGAAGAGTTGTGTTTTATCATTAGTGAGATATTCTAACATTTTAGGAGTCAGTTTCACCAGACCTCCCGGACAGCTTTTTAGCTTTTATTGCAATTTTAGCGCTTATCATTCTATTTTGGTTGTAAAATTGAGATAAATTCTGAGAAATTATCAGTCCAAAATGACGGTACCAATGGTGCAAATAACAAGTAATTAATCCTTTCAAAATAAAGCAACTAATTCATCCCGAATCATATTAGAGATACAATAATTGGTTTTATGCCCCACTGCACTGCAGATTTGAAGACAGCATTTCTGATTTCTTTATCTAATTTCAGATCAGAAAAGATAGTAGATTCATAATGTTCATTCCAATTTCTAAATGAAGTAATTGTTCCATCTTGTACATTAGGAAAATCAAAAATTTAGTTTAAGAGCCTTGCCAGATAGATCACACGAAATTCACCCTTCCCTCTAGTGAGTAATATTGGAAACCATGGAAAAATAATCTTACCACTGTCCTGGTATAAATGATACAGTTCTATTATCAACAGCTTGTGTCAAGAACTCTAAAGCATCTACATTATCATTTGGTATCTCAACCCAGATGAAAAACCCTCCCTGAAAATACATTTAGAATTATGACAAGGGAAATGAAAATATACAAAGATGTTGGAATACACACAGGAATGAAATATAAGATTTACGAACTGTCATATTTTCAATACAGGAATGTTGATTAATTTTTTTTCCAATAAAACATTTTTTAAATGATGTAGTGGGTGACAAGACACTACTCTAGGCCTACCATTGTCCTACTGTAACTGTATTTCAATGTCTAATAATTTAATGTGGTCATAATTATTTTACAAGTATAACAACTAAGGTTCACAGTCAAGTATCCTTTCTACCATCTACCATTTTCCCAGATTATCTGTACCCATTTACAGCTGGGTTGACAGAAATTATGAGTGAAGATGACTCAATCAAGGTCATATTTATTTGATGACAAAACGAACACTCACTAAAAATGGCGCCCTGACAAAAAAGCATACAGACTCAGCCTCACTATCGATTTTGACAAGCAGCCAAATTAGGCAGCTCTATTTGTTGTCTGTAGGCTGAGACCTCCCTCCCAGTTACCTCCCTTTGTCACAAACGATAGAAGGCTCTCAAACACATTCAAGTACATATATGCCTAATTTCATCAAGCTCAGATAAAAATTGTAGCTCGATGCATCTGTACTAAGTCAAGGGCAAAAACTCTGAAACCTTTTAACCAACTATTACCACATACATACTTGACCAACATCTTATCAATATATACATGTATACCAAGTTTCATCAAGATCAGATAACAACTGTAGCCTATATTGTGTCTTTGAGAAATGTGGACGAACCGACAGGCGGACAGAAATGAAATGAAATGAATGGAGTTTTACATCCTACTTTTCTGCACCATATAGACGGGATGAAGATGGGACAAGGACGACAATATACGTCCATATTGTCCTACTCACCAACCACATTAGGTTTTATTTTAAATAAATATCTAGATCAGAAGAGAAAAAATAGAAAGTAAATAATTTTGGCTCCAATTTCGACAGTGAGCTGTGAACACTTACTGATAAGCTTAGCTAAAAATATCCAATTCTGAAGACAAACAGATGGCGAACTTGTCTCTTTAAATACCTAATTGTCCTAATTCATATCTGACATGAATTCTACATACATATATATATATATCAAATAAACTTACTCCTGGTTTTATAAATTTTAGATGAGGAACTGTATTCAGTGTATCAATAATAATCTTCATATTTTTCTAATAAGAAAGAAATAATAAGAATATAAGGAAAGTAACAACTATATTTTACAAGGATAACAACTTAGGTTCACAGTTAAGGATCCTTTCTACCAGCTGATCCTTGGCCAAACCTCTTGGCATTGATCTTTCCTGGATTATTTGTACTCACTTACAGGTCGGTTGACTGGTTTTAAGGGTGAGTATGACTTATTCAAGGCCATTGGACTTTCACACGCCGAGCAAGATTAGAACCCACAGCCACCATTTGTTCGATGTCAATGAAGCCTATTAAGTTCGTTTCATTTGAGTCATGTTGTCATAAAGCCACATGTTTGATCTAACTTGAATGATTATAAGTATTTGCTTCACCATCAGTGGTTGCCATGGCAGTGCTTTTGTTCAAATGTCACATGTGATAGTGTTTGTTCATCTTCAATAGTATCTCTAATCTGCAGGGCAAATTATGGTGAAAAATTCAAAGACATCATCTTGGCATGATGCCAGATTCACAGTATTAACTGTATTGGAACAAGATGCATAATTCAACCACGTTGAGCAACCCTTGACATGGGGATCAATGCCGTATTGGCACTTGAAGTTTAGGGGACATGGATTTAAAGGCTCAAATTTTGACTGTGAGCTGTGAACGCTATTATTCATAGGCTTAGCTAAAAAATTCCTGTTCCTGAGACTAAAGTGTGATTGGTCTAAAAGAATGGCACCTGTCTCTTTAAAAACTAGGATATAGTGTTTGAGGACCTTGGTTTCTGACAGTACAAAATCTTGTAAATCACATTACAATCATTCTAATTAAAATTGAAAATCTGATTGTTTTGTCTATAGGTGACTACACCTGCCATTCATGATCTGACTAATTGTTATGCAACTACTGTTCAACATAATAATGCTAAGTTCAATAAAAGAATTTTCTATCAATAGATGAGGAATTTATTGTTTAAGAATTTTCTTGTATTTTGTAAAGTATTTAAAGTTTTTGATATGTTAGTATAAAACATGACATCTTTTGAAGAGATTTGGCAAAATTAAGAAGAAATCAAGGGTGACAAAAATAGTGATCTGCAGAAAAAACACAAAAACCATGTCCCCACAAATCATCTTCACAATGTCAACCTGTTACAAACTTCATCTTACACCTTGACTACAATAGCCACAGTTCTTGTACTGCAGAATGCAGCGATTTCATTGGATAGTATGTGAGCGAATACAGCCAATCAAGTGGAAGTATTTAATGGTGTACAATCCAACCAAATTACTGCATCCACTAACATCTGTGATATAAGAATAGGCTATAAGACTAAGTTCATAATACCTCGAGCACTGTGAAGATGCCCACAAATGTGTGTTCTAAAATTCAAGGCTCTCAGCAGGTAAGGTCTGAAATCCAAAAAAGTAAAATAATTACCGCATAATTTTCTTTCAAAAACTCTAAATGTGGTGCTAATAAATCTAACTTTAATATCTCTGTAACTATTTGACCACCAAAATGATTGAAACTTCCTCCACTGAAGGTTAAAGAGCTAAAGAGAAAAGATTAAAAAGATAGCTTGCCAAGCAAGGTAATATACGCCCACTGGCAGCTTTGATTTTGATTAAAATTATTTGGCTGTACAGTAACAATATGATATATTCAACTTTTAATAAAACACTTCTTTCGAACTTTTTGGTTGATAATGAATAATATTACTTAGATTTGTCATATTTTGGCAAAAATTGTGCTTTCCAGAGTGATTACAGCCAAAACATAATATTCATAATTATTATATTTATTATTGTAATTAATTATAATAATCAAGTAATTACCCGAGCTAATATCATCTATTTTCCACTTTAGTCTGACTTTGAAATCTTTAAGACGACACATTGAGTGATATATATGTATCAAATAAATCTTATTAGTGATGAGCAAAATTTGAGACATGCTTACGAAGAGAAGTACAAAGAATGGAAAAGGCTACCCCTTGACTGTATTATGTTACTGATTGGGATACAGGGACATTGTAGAACATCTGGTAATATCTTGATGGACACATTCATGGTTCAGCTTTGTATAGATACTAAAATTTATGCCAAATATGGTTTTGTCGTGGTGAGAATTCTCCAAATCAGGGATCCAAAAATGGATCTGAGTCACTCTCAAGAAAAATGAATTTCATGTCTGGCCCTAAATTTGCCCATATTCCAATTCTTTATCAGGTTTTAGGAATGGGTAGGACCAGATTTGTCAAGCTTATAGTTTAACTTCCGTTTGTATTTTATGTTTTATGTTTTATTAACTATTAGTGGTTACGTACAAAGCTAATAGCTAATAAAAGATTCGAAACGAAACTAATAAAATACGAACGGAAGTTAGGTCTAATTTTAATTAGACTGAAATATCTGAGAAAATTGTTTTGAAGTGTTTTCAGTAGCTGTTATAAGATTGTATAATCTAATAATATATATTACTAAAAGAAGTGATAATAGTTACCTATGAACAAGTCTGTTGACTATTATTGGTGGAGCTTCAATCCAGCCAACACGAATACCAGGCATGAGAATTTTAGTAAAACTTCCATTAGATACCACATTACCATAATAATCACTGTCAGTCCTAGTCAAATAGATAAATAGCTTTCATTAGATATGTAACAAATATATATGAGAGTAATTAAAGGTCATGGTTCACCTTTTTTGGAGGTTGATTTATGTCTTGAATATATGTAAATAGTCTTCTGAAGTGCTAGAACTGCAAGAAAATTGCATAACCCCTTCAGACTAGAAATTTCACTATATATGGCAGAGACGAGTCATCATCAAAACTTTCAAACAAGGATAATTCTGGACACACATGGATTTAAAGGCTCAGGTTTTAATAGGCAGCTGTGAACACTAGTACTTAGCTGAAAAAATTCCCATTTCTGAGTCTAAAGTATGATTGGTCAAATTTTGAGAAATCAAACTCATCAATATATATTTTCATATGCAAAAGCTCTTTTATTGCATTTAGAAGACATTAAGGAATTAAACTAAAAAATCCAGAAATTAAAACCCATTCAAGATTTCATCAACACACAAAAGCAAACCAATTTTTACCAATTTTGATATTTTTGCTAAATCAAAATAAAGATAGCATCCAAAGACAAATGAATAAGAAAGTTGTTCTTACAACCCTAAACTTTACTTAATCTTCACTTTTGTGGTCACAAGTTTTATGAAAATCTCTTAAAAACTGAAGGAGCTATTGTGATTTCAATATTCAACATTAAAGGGGGTGAGAAAGGGGGGTTAATTATGGTAATTGTTTTCAATCCCAAACTTTTTCATTATATTATATTTTTATACCAATTTATTTGAAAATCGCTAGAAAACTGAAGCTGTAGCCTTTTCGATATGTGAGATCATATGCATATATAATCATAGAAAATCCCTTCTAATTCGAAATTTTGATGGAAAATGGAAAGCAAAAACTATATTTTACAAGGATAACAATTTATGTTCACAAAGGATCCTTTCTACCAGTTGGTCCATGGCATCCATCTTTCCCAGATTATCTGTACCAATTTACAGCTGGGTAGACTAAAATCATGAGTGAAGATGACTTATACAAGGTTATACTGATCGAGATTACGATGTATCCAATGCTCTGACAGTGCTATAAAACCTCACAAAACAAAACAAAACAAAACACACAAGTGGTTGCCTGGCAAGATACGCCCACTGTCCTGATACATTTTCAGTATATCAAGGGCAGTCACCTATCTGTGTCAAATCATACCAAAAATCTAATTTGTGCAAGATATTGTTGATTTAAACAAACATACATTATTTAATAAAATTCTGACATAAACCGTCACCTCTATTGCCAACAAGTTTTGATGCATTTTTACTAAGTCAAGGGCAATAACTCAAATTCCGTTGATTGAAGAATTGTCAAAATCAATCTTGACTAAGATCTCATCATTATAAATGATCATACCAAATTTCATTTAAATCTGATGAAAACTGTACTCTTCACAAAAAAATTTTTTCATAAGTCAAGGGCAATAACTCAAAAACCGTTCATCGAAAGATCATCAAATTCAAATTTGTCCAAGATCTCATGAATTTAAATGATCACACCAAATTTCATTCAAATCTGATTAAAACTGTTGTTTCTAATGAGATGTACTACTAGTGGTATTGGTGATCCCATCAAAAAGTCTTCTGTGATTGTTTATTGCTGCCTGTTTTTTCTTTTTGGAATCACCACATTATAATGTGGGCGTATAAAAACCAATGCATGGAAATTTAAACCAGTGTAAAATGAGCAAATTCAAATTACAAAAAAATAATAGTAAAATATCACAAAGTAACAACTATCCTTGTATCACCCTAACACCACCAAATTTTGTTGAAGAAAATTGTACTTACGGATTATCATAGGAAAATAATCTTTGTGGTGGATGTTTAGAATCATAACAAAGTAAATTATAAACATCATCACATATTATCAATACTTTATGTTTTCTAGCACATTTTATTAATGCTTTACATGTTTCTGAAATCATACAACAAATACATTGATATTTTTTTTCTATTATCTGTATTAAAGGAACATGTTTGACATTTTTGGATGTTGACTTGGCCTTGAATATATATATATATATAAAATTAGACCCTAAAGTCAGTTGTAAATGAAATTGTGACTGACACCAGTAGATTGTGACTGACTTTTGCAACTAGTTAAAAAATTGCAATTTGGTGACTGATTTTTTCAACTGCTATGTAAATAAATCAATGTGCTATTTATTTATCAATTATATAATTTTATGTATATTACATGTATAATACAGAACATACTTGAATATATTCAACTAACTGTTCAATAAAGGAATTTTTAAAGATATGCATTTAATTTGTGATGCAAAATGGCACAAATAGTCTAATACTACATATTCCATACATGATAAAAATTTGATTGTTGATTCAAAATCAGTCAAGGACACTTTCTCTTTAGGACCCTTAAACTTTACTTTCCAGAAACCTATGCTAATAAAATGTTCAGCAATTACTTGCAAAAAAACTTGACGCCAACTGGTGAATAAAATCAACTGATGATTTTGACCAATTGTGATGACTTTGAGGCCTATATTAAATAATCTTGAGAACTGCTAGAAATGTACAAAACTGGCATAACTCCTTCAAAAATATTTTAAACTAGGAATTTCACATCCTATTTCTATAGATGTCTTTTTATATATATCACAATCTAAGAAAAAGACAATAATTGGTCTTTTTAACTTTCAAACTCAGATAATTCTGGACCCACAGGTATTTGGAGGCTGTTGAACATTATTACTGATTAGCTTAGCAAAAAGTTACCATTTCTTAGACTAAGGTACGATTGGTCAAACAGATGGCCAACCTTTGCATTTACTAAGTAACAGCTTAAAATGCAAATCTTTTTCAGCTTTATAGAATGCTTACAGCAAACCAGATTAGACTTTTGACTTGACCCTTTAGTTCTTTTGGAATTTCAAATGATGGAATCAACAATTGATACTGCCCTGTCAAATTGAGACAGAAAGGAATAATCTGATGTTTGAAGAAGAATTATTACGTTTGATCTCTTTTGATAAACTACTGCCATTATCTATATCAGTGGTCTTCAACCTTTTTCTTTGTATTCTCCCCTTCTGGATCCTTGATCAACTGAATTATCTCCTTACCCCCTGTAAATCACTTAGAACAACTTAAATTATAAATGTCCAAAACTTTTATACTAGACTACAAAGTGCCTCATTTCCACCAAAAAATTCACAATTACCCCTTCTGATCAATATTTCGGTGAAAATAAATATCTGTATATACCTGGTGAATATGACAGTCCTCTAGGGTTATTATATACAGGTACAGTATAAACACAAGCCCAATATATCATATCATTAGGTATATCTTGAGGTTTCTGTTCTGTTAAAAGTCTATCTAAATCTTCTACATCAATACCATGGCTGTCTGTTTTAACTAAGATGAAAATATTTACAATATGAAATGAAGTTTGTGTACTTTGGGTTTACTCATGGACTCAACAGCCAACACCCTGGCTTGTGCAATGAGGGAAATTTTGTCCTCTACAAAAATGGCTTATTTTTTGATTCATTCATTTTAAATTGGGTAAAATCTATCTTAAGGCTTTATTCACAAAAATAACTTTCAATTTCTTCATCTCATTTGTCTTATGCATTTTATCATATAAAAAAATTCAATTATAAGGCCCCTTAAGCAAGGCCCTATTAATTGATGACTTAATCTACCTGGTATAACATTCATGTGTAAATCATCTTTTAAAGCTCTCTGCATAGCAAAATATGTTGGATTTTCTATGAAGCAGTGGGTTCCCCGACCAAATAAAACCGAGGTTAATAAGTGAACTCCATGTGTAGCACCAGCAGTTAATATGAGGTTTTCACTGCAAAATATTCAACATTGCCTGTATAATCTTTATAAGTTTTACGTATGTTTAACAGAAAAACTTTCCATCACTAATGCCCCTAGTATCCACATTAAACATCCAACTTCAGTATGGACGTAGGCTGAAATAGGTCTAAAGATCACATAGCATGAAACTCTGAGTAACAAGTTCTGTTTTAATATTTATAAGTATTCCATTTACAATAATAATATTAAGGTCTTTTACTGTTAAAGTAGGTCTCAATGTATTTTACAGAGTAACGAGAAATATTAAAACAGAACCTGAAACATGAAACTGGTCCACTTTAGCTTGTGTCAATAGATCCGTTGTCTTAATAATAATCCATTTTAATATTAATAATGACTGTAAATAAGTAGTAAAATTATTACGAATTAAAGGAAAAAATCGTTCTTGATTTTCTTTTTTGCTAGATAAGTGTTTAAAATGAAAACAATTAAGCTCTAGTAATATGGCTACTAATTTCTTCTGTTTCTTTCCAATATAAACCAGATTATGATGTGTCTACAATTAAAGTCTTATCAGCATTGGTTGTATTTATATATAGACATGATTCTGGCTATTAAAAAAAAAAACTGAAAATTTGAATTGTGAAACACTGACTCACAAAGTGAGTCAAGGTGCCTCGCAAAGCGAGGTGCGGTTACGGCGAGGGGTCTGGAGTAAAATGGTGCAAAATCCTGAATTCTGGCATTTCCTGGCAATAAATTTGAAAGCTGGAAATCATAATCTAAAAACATAAACATACTTTTAAAAAAGAATGTACAACCTCTATCTTTATATAAAAAACAGTGTTAACATGATATATACACAGCTTTTCAGCTTTTCTTAGCAATACTTGTGTCTCTTGCAATACATTGCTGATGAGTTTTTCATGCTTTCTTTTTAAGGAGATGCTGCTCCAGACACTTTCATCCTCGACTGGCATAATTTATGTCCTTTCTACACAAGTTACAATGTGCAACTCCTTTTCTGGTAATATTCCTGATGAATCGATCAACAAGTTCTTTGTCAACTTTCCGCTTCAGCCATTTCCCTTTCCACACATTCTTCAAACCGTTATCTAATAATTTTGTGTCAAAATCGGAAAAATTGGAAGCCATGCTGTTGAAAGCGAAAGTGATATTAAATACCGCTTTGCAAACCGATCTTTCATTTCAACCAATCATATCGCTTTTTACAACTAGAATATCAAACCGGAAACAATCTATCATACAGAGTTGTCTTTCCTTGCAGTCTACAGGAAGAAAAGACAACTCTGTACGAGAGTTTAGGCGGACTTATGTGAAAAAAAAAGAAAACGACAAAAAAAAAACGGAAAGTTTAACAAAAAATCGGAATCATTAAAACAGAAGAAAATCATGTCTGTATATAGAATAGCAAGGGTGAGGTAACTTATTACAGTGAATTTCAGTATGAAAACTCTCAGAATACTGCAAGACCTGCAAATTGCTGAGATGACACAAACCAGTTTTTCTGGACTTGCAGGAACCACATAAATTCAACAGGGCCAAAAGAAATTCTTTAAAAATTCTGTCATTTTAAGAATATTTGCTACCTGTTAACTGTACTGTCATATTGTTGAGATAAAAATTTAGCTACTTCATGTCGGAACTCTGCATCACCTTGTTCAGGTCCATAACTAAATGTTTTATTTGCATCCACATTTGCATGCTAAAAATACAACACATTATTGATAAGCATTTCATTAATGCTGTTCAAGTGGCACAGACAAGGGAATCAGTTGTCTAGTGTTGAAACTGTTAGTGAATTTTACGAACCGGATAATTGTCGGCAATAACCGTTTGTTACCCGGTTAATCCCGGTTAATTACTAAAGATTATAAAAGGAGTCAAAAACCACATTTTGGTGGTAACTCACCATTAACTAAACTAGAGTAAGTGTAAATGAGTACCCAGGAAGATTTTGGCTAGTTCGGCGCAAATTATCGGTAAAAATCGACAGATACCAAACAACCCATTGAAGCGTCTGCTTCAATGTAAGATTACGAGCAGGCCTGACAGAGTTCAGACGGACTGGTGCCATTGTCACTCATTGCTACAGTCTCTAACAGATCAAAGGTTTTTATACCAGTTTTGGGGTCAGTGTAATGAGTGTATCTCATTGAAGTCACAGCAAATCAGTGTACTGGCTCCACAACTGGTATAAAACTATTGTCTCAAACAGCCAATTAGAGGAGAGTTAATAAAAAGTAATACGATCTTTATAACAGTTTTATTCTAAGCAACTCGTACCCGACTGAAATAATAAAAATTATAACAAAACTTACTCTCTTTTTACTTCTTATAAAATTGACGGTTAACCGATTATCTCAAATCAAACCCGGTTACCCTTGAAATACTACCGGAAATCGGTTAACTGATTAACCGTTTCAACACTACAGTTGTCTGAAGATTGTTAAAGATTCGCTTTAATTGACTGAAAAGTTCTTGCTGGAAATTAAATTTATTTATATGAAAAAAAATTCCATGAGGAAAGTCTTTTTGGAATGCCATTGATCAAATACTATATTGATTTTGCAGGTAAAAATAACAGCGATATTTAAAATACTCAGTTTCCTGGAAATGGCGTCTCTGGCCTTATTTTTCTAAACTTTCCACAAAAGGAACTTTAAAACCATTGTATGATTTTTCATTAAACTGGTTAATTAGTGCAATAATTTCTGCGAAAAATAACAGAATAATTTGGTAATTTTGGTTGCAATTTGTAAGTAAGTTGGACAAAGTCAAATAAAGTGAAATATGGGTCTTGCTTTTTGCTCCAGAAAGGGCTAACGAGACAGCTAAGCAAGACCATGCAGAACCTTATACCCCTTGGTTAGCTGGAAAATATTACTATAACTAACTGTAGCTAACTTTCTGATCTTCTTCGGCTCCAAATTAAAATGAACTTACAAGCAAACCATTCATAGCTTTCTTGATAATAACTTCACATGGTTTTAACTTAGTTTCATGTGGAACACCATCTAATAAACTTATACATCCATTTTCACGACTTTTCTTAACATTAGCTTTAAATCTGTCTAAAACATCCATTTTATGTAACTAGCTGAAAGTAAATATATATCATTTATACATCTTCACAATGTCAAGCTATTACAAACTTCATTGGATTCTTTTCTTGTATCACAAATGTTGGATAGGAGGCTATCAAATATGACCAACCATAGCCCTTGATTACATGTGCAGCCAAATTATCTAAGTCTTTCTGTAGATAATCTAATCAAACTAACTAACACTAACTTAAAGGGACAGATGCACCATTTTTTGGACCTTGCAGTCAAGGTATAAGGCGCAGTTTATAATAGCTTGACATTGTGAAGATGTATTAAATACAACATACAGCTTGACCTCATTTGATTCTTATAGAAACCACTATACACTTCGTTCTGGGAGCGTGGAAATGACATTGGTGGCATTTAAATCTGACCAATCAGAACAGAAATGAGGTCATGTAAACAAAGCACAAAACAGCTTTACAGCTGCCCGTTTGAAAAGATAAGAACACATTCTTTCCAAGAAAATATTCAAAAGTCAGGTTTCATTTTCTCTCCGCTTTGATAATAGGCTATATATTCATTAAAATATGTAAATGGCACGCTGCTTTCGGTTTTGTTTACGTTCACAAACAAAGCGTTATTTGTTTTGATTGGCTGAAATTTGCTACGAATACACTAGGGCCAATTTTGATTGGACAATATTTAGCTATGAATACGTAATATTTCTCACTTGTATTACCACGGCCCAGAGGAAGTATGTGGAATGGGGATGTGCTTTGGACACGATGGTAAAAAGTGAGCTAAAGAAAGTTTTAAAAGGTGGCCTGGCTTACAAAACTTCTTCATCCAGAACATTTTCACATAATTATAAACAAGGTTTCTTTCAGGATAGATACATAATAAATCAAGCCAAACTTGTGTTACATTCATTATGAAGTGGACTGTTATTAAATGATACCTGTTTGTGAATAAATATCTTTGTTTCTGTCACCTTATTTAATAAATTATAACAATAGAGAAAGATTAACAGTATAAGATCTCATGTTGGTATCCACCATTATCAAGATTTTACTCTAATCTAATCAGTATATTATACCTTTTGTGACCTTTCATTAATATTTAAATATTAAAACTGACATGAATTTGAAATTCAGATTGCTAGATCTTCTTTGGATATGTAGGTCACAATTGCAGCAACTGGGTAACTCCTACTTTGAATTGCAACATGGAATCAGTGGCAGCACCAGCATTCCGAGCTGGGGGTACAAAAATGGGGCAGACTTACTCAATGGGGGACAACTGTCGACACTGAATTCAAAACGCAGAAACTCTGTGGTGGAATCTCATAGCATGTGTGAATGAATTCTCCCAGGAAATTTTATTAACAAATACATCTACAGGCGCCGTCACTGCTTGGAATTGGTTAAGGTTAGGATAACTTAATAGGCCTAATAAATACCAGAGATGCCTATATCAAATTAAAGAAAGACAAACCTATTTCTTATCATTTCAACCTCGACGACCATTCGATAGACGATCTCACCCTAATCCCAATTGAGCGCATAGAAATTGACTTGCCCGAATATGAAACTACCAAATTCCGTCAATCTAGGGAAGTCCATTGGATTGAGACATTGAATACAGCAAGACCTATAGGACTAAATATTCACCATAATGTAGGCATAGCACCCTTTGTTGTCCCGTTTAATACAACCAGCAATCAAGCAATGCGTGCTCAGAAAATTGACATCTGAGGAAAGGCTGAATAATTGACTAGTGCTCATCTGACTGAAAACTACTTGGTTGTTGTACATTTGAGATCTCATTTTACTTTCTTTTTTCGGCCATTTGATTCCTTTTTTTTCTTTCCAAATTTTGTTACTTACGGCATGACACTTGTCCAGAAGTGCTGTTCTAAGACAGATAGCTTGCTATTGACATCTATGGTGAAAGGAGCTCATTGTGGTTGGAGATAAATAAGGACTGTGACACTCTTATAGCCAAATAGCCTAAAAGATATGTTTGAAGTAGATTTGTTTTACATTTTTCATGAACAATCCAATAATCAGGGACGGTGATCCTTAGCTTCTTTCAGGGGGGAACATCATAATCATATATTGTCCCCTCTGAAAAATAGCCATTAAAGACAACTCATTCATTCAAACAAACAATTGACCTGAACCTCATATTCACTTCATTCATTCAATTTGATAATCGTGATATACATCGAGAAGGAAATTGGCCGACGATGATCTCTGGCATTGGCTCCAAGAGAGGTCAAGAGATAATTGTAGGCCTAGTTCATGTTGCCCAAATAGTTTGAACGATTATTGCATTATTCAGAGTCAGAGAAGAATAACTAATGTTTATTTCCCTTTAATTGTCGTTTCAATCTTCAAAAAACAGTTCCCTTGTCCAACAAACTGACCCAAAACTATATCTGCGACTGTTATTTTTAAATACATTATTTCATTTTCCTGAATCAAGGGGAGTCTTTGTTATATGTCAAATAATCCAGAGCCTTAAATTCGTCAGGAAATGTAAGGAAATCGCTTTTCTGGGCGTCTAATTCTCAAAATGTTCTCAGCGGCATACCAAGGACCATATACAAATAATCTTAAACCTTAAATTCGCCGGGAAATGTCAGGAAATCGCATATTCAAGCTTCAATTTCTCAAAATTTTCTTGTGGTGGTCTACACAAATAAACCTAAAACTCGCTGGAAAATATCAGAAAATCGCGTTTCCAGGCATCTAATTCGCAAAATTTTCCTGTCGTGGTCCCACTGTCCCTATACAAATAAACCTTAAATTCGCCAGGAAATGTCAGGATATCACATTTCAGGGAGTCAAATTCTCTAGAATGTTCTAGAGGGAGTCCCCAGATTCAGAAAACCGTGTTTCCAGGCTTCCAATGGGCGTCCTCGGCAGCAATAGAGATAGCAATAACTTTAAGAGCACCTCTGTAATACGTAACAATTCACAACGTTTTCCGGAAGGGGAAGGGGATACCTAAACTCCCCCCCTTGATTGGACGTCTGACCCCTCAAAAGGACTTGGCTGGTTACAGGCCTGTCCCTTCGACCAATACCCCAAAAAGATGTGTCCCCCCTGTTTGCAAATCGGATCGCCACCCCTTCCAATAATCATTACCATACATATAACTAATGTGTAATTATTCACATCCAAAAAGGAAATGTCAGGAAATCGCACATTTCCAGACGTCAATTTCTCAAATTTTTCTTGCGGTGGTCCCACAGTATCTATACAAATAAACCTTAAATTCCCTGGGAAATGTCAGGGAATCGCGCATTTCCAGACGTCAATTTCTCAAAATTTTTCTTGTGGTGGTCCCACAGTATCTATACAAATAAACCTTAAATTCACTGGGAAATGTCAGGAAATCGCGTTTCCGGGCGTCAAATTCTCATAATTTTCTCGCGGTGGTCCCACAGTATCAATACAAATAAACCTTAAATTCGCTGGGAAATGTCAATAAATCACGTTTCCGGGGATCAAATAATCGGATCGCCGCCCCTGCCAATAATCATTATTACCAAAGGCTACATATAACTAATGTGTAATTATTCACATCCAAAAAGGATACTGAATTTCATAGATAAATATACAATTGAGATGACACCGCCACGCACAGAGAGTCGGGAAAAAAGTTTCAAAAATTGTTAATAACATGATTAATTGCCTTTATCACATGACAACAACAATTAATCTGATACGTGAGTCTCGTTTTGCTACAAGAAAACAAATGTCAGAAAATGATTAACAAAGAAACATAATTATGCATCTAAAATGAAATCAACGTAACTCAAACTCACCGTGTAACGTAATGAACGGTTGTCATGAAGTCCGTGAAGACTGGGTGAAGGTCAGGGTCACTTAAAACAATTATGCAGGTAGTTCGAAGGAGATAACAAATGGATGGTTGTTGGGTATAAGTCAGTGTAAATTAAGTCAGTAAATTTTGGGCAAAACAATTGACGATTTCACTTCCTGCCGCCAGTAAGCTCATAATTAATGGCGACAATGTTAATATTTTAATGTAAATATAAAATAAGCTGTCCTTGTCAAGACAAAAGAAGCCACCTAAATTTGCATTTGGCCTTTGATTGACCCAAGTATGTATTAAATTTACGTAGGCCTATGCATACCATGATGTTAGCATTTATATAACCTGTTATCCCAAAATAGAGTTACTTCCCATTACTCACAACCTTTTTCCTTCCTGAAACAAAAATCATGATTACTTCATGATCATTTGCTGTAATACGAAACAATGTTCATGTTTCGCCTGCTAGAATTACCTTCACAAAAAATAATTAAAAGGGTGTTTTTTTTTTTAAATCTTGACTCTTGACTTTCATATCTTTTTCTGGACAACCCCAGAAAACAAGCTAAAATTTGGATCTGTGTCGATTTTGCACAAACGTTTAGAAATTCGGTATTGGTTAATCATTTAATTCCACAAATTAATCCATTCTCGAGAAGGAGTCATCGATTTGCCCCCGATTTATGTCTGACTAGTGACTACCATAATCTATAGAATCACATTTCAGCAATTATATCTGTATGAATTAAATTATCAACATCAAAATACTACAAAGAGTAGCCCTATTAGATTTGCAATGGGTATTAAAATGACAACCAATGAACAAATTATTGTTTGAAAATAACTCAGAAGATTTTGGTATCGGTTAAGATTGTAACAAACCACAATACAACGATTTTATAGAGGGAAATTTTCTGTACGAAGTTTGTCTATTTCTCAGGAAATTTATGGAAAGGAAGTGTTTTATTTCTAATGAAAATTTCCTAACATTATATCTATGGACCAAAGATATTGGGGAGATGGGGAAAAATGGCCCTCTAGGCCAGCCGGAGGCAACCTCAGTTGTCACTGTCAGGCAGTCAGTAAACAGGTTCTTTGACCTCTGAACAGCTCTGATGGAAGAACACGATTTTCCACCAGACAATGTATAATTTTGATGATACGGGCAAACTCGACCGTCCAAGATTAGGC